CAACGAAGTGTAATACCGTCATATCATTTCCAAAAAAGCCTCCGCCGTCTTCCGATTCCAAAACTTCAGGACTCATGCAATAGGTGAATAGTTAGTCTCCTTTCTTCCAGGAATTATTATTTTGCAACTATCTTTTCAGGTTCCTAGCTTCTGCCAAGGTTGTCCTTAATGATGCTGTATATAATCGAACGGAAGAAGTGGTTCGCTCATTTGAAAAGGCCGAAGGACCAGGTTGGAATCCACTCAAAACTTAGCTTTTCGATCATATCTCGACTATTCATTCTAACATCCTTCATTTTGAGGAAAACAAAGTAGGACAGTTGTTTCAGGCTTCAATTGAAGTCCGAAACAACTGCTTTACCTCGCTTTACTTTCGAAATGTTCTGATTCATAGCTTTCAGAACTTCAAAAGGCTCTGATCGACTACGATCGAAACCACAAAGACACAAGTTACATCTGTGAGCCATGGTTTGATATGTACTTGAAAGCTCGTATACCATGTCCGGTCAACTATAACCCTTTCATGATGTATGCGCCGGATCCAAATCCACGATTTAACCATCAGGTTTGTTTTCTTTTGGGCCTTTACTTGTAGAGTTTTCGATTTATTTCTCTACAACCACCTCGTTCGTTTCAGGTATCGCGTTCGACGAACTTTGCCATCTCTTTCGCTCGGTTTAGGCGTGCTCTGGATGCCAATGTTTTAGCTCCCGAGGTGTTCCATCTTAACCCTAAGAAGAGCGACACGAAACTGTTCCGAAACGTTTGCAAGTAGGTCTGGAACAATGTTGCTTTAGTACTGCTTCACTTCTGCCGAGTAATGGTTGCTTAGAACATTCCAGTGATGCACATTTGATTAAGAGAATAACATTCAGATCACTTCCAGCGAGTCTTTCGTGGTACGGAGCCGTAGCATTCAAGGCTTTCCCTCTTGACATGAGTCAGTACAAATCCTTGTTCAATGGAACCCGTATTCCAAAAAAGGATAAAGATGTTCTGTATCAGGTGTGAACATATTGTCAACTAGCGTGTTTCTGTCTAAACATTCGCGCTTAACATTTATAGGACACGACACAAAAACACTTCATGGTTATGTG